CTAGTGACACAGAGACATGGGGACACAGACACTGGGAGACATGGGGACACTGAGACACTAGGGACTCTGGCTGGGAGGCATGGGGACACTGAGACACTTGGGGACACTGAGACATGGGGGAGCTTGTGGACATAGACATGGGAGACATGGGGACACTGAAAAAATTGGGGACACTGGGAGACAGGGGGCACTAGTGGATACAGACATGGGACACTGGGAGACATGGGGACACAGACACTAGGGACACAGAGACATGGGGACACAGACACTGGGAGACTAGAGGCCACTGGGAGACATGGGGACACTGAGACACTAGGGACACTGGCTGGGAGAAAGAGGGACACTGGGAGACATGGGAACACTGAAATACTTTGGGACACTGGGAGACAGGGGGCACTAGTGGATACAGACATGGGACACTGGGAGACATGGGGACACAGACACTAGGGACACAGAGACATGGGGACACAGACACTGGGAGACTAGAGGCCACTGGGAGACATGGGGACACTGAGACACTAGGGACACTGTCTGGGAGACAGAGGGACACTGGGAGACATGGGAACACTGAAAAACTTTGGGACACTGGGAGACAGGGGGACACTAGAGGATACAGACATGGGACACTGGGAGACATGGGGACACAGACACTAGGGACACAGAGACATGGGTACACAGGCACTGGGAGACTAGAGGCCACTGGGGGACACTGAGACACTAGCGACACTTGCTAGGAGGCATGGCAACACTGAGACACTTGGGGATACTGAGACATGGGAGAACTTGTGGACATAGACACGGGGACACTAGGAGACATGGGGACACTGAAAAAATTGGGGACACTGAGAAACTAGGGACACTGGCTGGGAGACATGTGGATACTGGTAGACAGATATTTGGGGACACTGGGAGACATGGGGACACTGAGACATTATGAACACTGAGAGACATGGGGACACAGACACTGGGAGACTAGGGGACACTGGGAGCCGTGGGGACACTGAGACCCTAGGGACATTGGCTGGGAGACATGGGGACACTGGAAAAACTTTGGGACACTGAGACACTAGGGACACTGGCTAGGAGATATAGGGACACTGGGAAACATGGGGACACTGAGACACTAGGGACACTGACTGGGAGACATGTGGACACTGGGAGACAGATATTTGGACACACTGGGAGACATGGGGACAATGAGACACTAGGGACACTGAGAGACATGGGGACACAGACTCTGGGAGACTAGGGGTCAATGGGAGCCATGGTGACACTGAGACACTAGGGATATTGGCTGGGAGACATGGGGACACTGTGAGACATGGAGACACTGCGTCCCCATGTCCCAATGTGTCTCCCAATGTGCCTATGTCTCACAGCATCTCCTAGTGTCTCAGTGTCCCCTAGTGTCTCAGTATCCCCATGTTTTCTGAGCTGTAGTCTGTCTCTGCAGGCTGCAGCGGTCTGAACTCTTTGTGCTGTGTAGCTGCTCCCCAGTGGATCAGTGAGTAGAGAGAGGCAGGCAGGGATATGCTGTAACTTCCTATCCCTGCCTCTCTCCACACATAGCGACCCCTGCTGGCTGGTGCTGGTATTGCAGAGTAATCTCCATTTATACTGAGAAAAATATCTGCATTTGCATATCTGGTATTACTGGAACGGCCAGGCAGCCTCAAATACTGGCTGTGCTGGTAAACCACCAGTCAGGTGGCAAACCTAAGAGTACTCACAAACAGGGAGCTATAGACCCAGCTCTGGTATGAATCACTTCTGGGTCCGTATACGCGACACACCCCTACTACCGATATGGATCTTGTCCTGAAGGGGGGAAGAAAAGCACAAAAGATTGCGCAAGTATTGCTGGTGGTGATTTTAATTTAATATAAAAATTCCCAAATTCGGTACTCACAAGCCTGGAGTCAAATAAAATGACTCAATCCTTAGGTATTGTGCAGTTTTGGGACTACACTCCCAGGAACCAGGATCAAAGAATAAAATAAAAACTAATTTTTTATAAAAATGTGTAAAATGAATAAATAAAAAGGACATTGTTGCCTTTTTATTTATTCATTTTATACATTGTTATAATAAATTTAGTAGGGGTGGGTCGCCTATACGGACCCAGAAGTGATTCATACCAGAGCTGGGTCTATAGCTTCCTGTTTGTGAGTGCATGTATATTACTATTATAGACATTATCCAGTTATATACTGTCTACACTATGTTTGATTGTCTTTTATAGATACCAATTTATTTGACATTCAAGTGAAAAACTCCTCTTAATTGAATCAAAAAGGTGATAATTTATTTAATTTATTTATTATAAAAGCGCTACATTCTTTTCTTGTTTGTAGGTGGGGGAGGAGAGGTCACCAGCGCCAAGGGAGTCTAGCGCTGGATTAAGGTAAGTGGCTGAAGGGGTTTTAACCCCTTCAGCGCCACAGGAGGGGGACCCTGAGGGTGGGGGCACACTCAGGGCACTATAGTGTCAGGAAAACCGCTTTGTTTTCCTGACACTATAGTGATCCTTTAAGAAGTCCCTTAAAACATATATTTTTAGAATAGCACCATGGTCTCCCAGAGTACCTGTCACTTCTTAAACCTGTCACTTACTTTCTCAGCTTAGCTAGTCGGTCCCTACTTCTTTTCATTGTCACCTTCCAAACCAGCCACCGTCCTGCCCTGCCACTTAGCTTCTTCTTTTACTCAATTCTGGCCACCCCAGTGTGTTATTTCACCCTACCTAATTTTAAGGATATTAGGGCAGGGTCCTCATCAACATATTGTTCCTGCCAAAATTTGTTATAGTTCTTCTCATTTGTCGTTAAATTCCCCCTTTATAATATTGTATAACTCTGTGGAATAAGTTGAAGCTGAATAAATGCCAATAATAATAATAATTATTATTATCATAATAAAAATGATAATAATGCTCATTCTAATAATTATACCTGATACAAAAATATACACAATGCCAGACACATACACAGACAGTATTTTGTTATGTGCTTGGAATCCTAAGTAAATTTCACGATTTACATCAAAATAGCCAAATTAGAAAAATATATCAAAAAAAGTCAATTCTGTTTTCAATTCGACTATTTTGAATTCACTTTGAATTCCAAAACAATTCTCACTTTAGTGAATTATGCTGACAGATATACAATCACACTCACAAATAATGAAATATACAGCAGTGGCTGTAACAGGGTGACATAGCTCACTATTCACTCTTGCGTGACTTACTTTTGTCATGTATTTTGATTGGCAGGATATAAATTAAGTTCATGGTGGGGGGTCAGAGGAGCTGTAGCTTTAGCAATACTTGCAAATCACTTCCATGAACATCGACTTGTAGGAACAAAAAAAAAAACGAGATTATAAATCAATGCCAGGAGAGGAGATGGTTATGTTATGGTACTTTGATGCCCCTTTAAATATATATTGTTTTGCTGTTTACTGATCTCATGCAAAGTATAGGATATATTTTGATTAAGACCGTGCACCTTGCATGTAAATCTCTGCAGGAAACAATAAGCTTTTCTACGTTAAATTTGAATCCTTTTAGTTTGCATTACAGGGAACACGACAAGTGTGGTTTTAAGATCATTTGAGTTTGGTTCAATCCTGAAATCCCAAGTTTTAAATCGAAATTCCCTATTATTTTTTTTCCAAAGCAGTAAATGGGGTTTATTTACTAACGATCGGCTATAATAGACATGTTGAGTGTGGGGACCTGTTTACTAAACAATGGCTTCTCACTGTTATCACATTCCCAAGTCACTAGAAAGGACCCCATCTAATGGGCATAGCGCCTATAAACACGGTTTTTGGTTGAAGTAACCTCTTAATAACTGGGGGACTTTCCACTATCCCTTTCAAGTCCCCCCTAGGCAGCAGGTGGGCTCTATATTAAAGAAGTGGGGGTGGACATGCCCTTGTCCATCCCCTATCCTATACCTGTGGTTTTGGTTTTAAAGCAAAGAGGTGTCCACTTCAACATCTTAACTAAGTATATATTTGTATTCATATCCTTTAGATTGTAAGCTCACTGGCGATCTGTGCTTACGGGCAGGGCAATTTTTAACTTTTGTATTGATCTATTTATATTGTTACTGTCCTTTTAACAATTGTACAACGCTGCGGAATATGTCAGTGCTTTATAAATAAATATGCAGTGTACATTAGGTAAATCCGTAAACATCATATCAAGGTATTTTAGTTTTTAAAGGCCAGTCTAATTTCATATCAGTTAATAAAAATAATATTTTATAATTAGGAACCTGCTTATGTTCCATGGTCATTTTTAAAAACGACTACCTCAAATATAATAATAAATGAGTGGCCAAAAATACATGCACCTTTGTTAAAAAAACAAAACAAAAAAAATAAGATAATTCTAGCATTCTATGTGTGCTGTTTCCCAGCATGCAAAGCTTCTTTCCCTGGCTGCCCTTTAATTTTGTTCTAGTCTCCGTCACAGTAGGAGTGCAGCCAAATTAAGAATGAAAATTTTGCCTGGTGCCAGGTCTGCATGACCTTCAACAAGTTCCAATCTCTACAGTTTAGGAATAGCAGCTCATAGTAGAACAATACTGCATAGAACATTTGGCCATGACCGTGAGTTGAAACAGGTGCAATCTGAATGAAAATACAACTCTGGAAGTTTTTTTGTCTTTTTCTTTTTTTTGTACATCTGTATGTGTGGCACTCTTTGTATCTGTATGTCTGCATGTGTGTCAGTGTGTGTATGAGCGTGTCTGTGCAACTGCATGTGTGGTAGTGTTTGTATCTGTGTGTCTTTGCACCTGTATATGAGTTGGTGTTTGTATCTATGTGATATTGTGTGTGTTTGTATCTGTATGTATGTCAGGGTATCTGCATGTGTGGCAGTGTTTTTATCTGTGTGTCTGTACATTTGTATGTGTGTCAGAGTGTGTATTTGTGTTTCTGTATTTGTATGTGTGTCACTGTATCTATAAGTCTTTATCTGCATGTGTGTCAGTGTGTGTATCTGTATCTGTGTGTGTCACTCTTTGTATCTGTGTGTTTGTACATTTGTATGTGTTATAGATACAGTGACACACATACAAATACAAAAACGCAAATACACTTTAACACACATACAAAAGTACAAACACACAGATACAAAGAGTGACACACACAGATACAGATACACACACTAACACACATGCAGATAAAGACATAGATACAGTGACACACATACAAATACAGAAACACAAATACACTCTATGTCTTTATCTGCATGTGTGTCAGTGTGTGTATCTGTATCTGTGTGTGTCACTCTTTGTATCTGTGTGTTTGTACATTTGTATGTGTGTCAGAGTGTGTATTTGTGTTTCTGTATTTGTATGTGTGTCACTGTATCTATATGTCTTTATCTGCATGTGTGTCAGTGTGTGTATCTGTATCTGTGTGTGTCATTATTTGTATCTGTGTATCTGTATGTGTGACAGTGTGTGCATCTGCATGTGTGTCAGTTTGTGTATCTCAATGCGTGTCACCGTGTGTATCTGTATCTGTGTTTGTCATTCTTTGTATCTGTATATCTGTATGTGTGACAGTGTGTGCATCTGCATGTGTGTCAGTTTGTGTATCAGTGTATCTGTGCAACTGCATGTGTGGCAGTGTTTGTATCTGTGTCTGTATCTGTATGTATGATACAAATTACATTACGGTGCAAACACAATAATATACTAATAATCTTATCAGGCTACTTAAATTTGCCTATCTAAGAAAATAAATATGGTACCCCAATATCGGTGGGTCCTACACTAACTCCAAATGTGGGAGACAAATTAAATAGTGCTAAATAAGCTAACGTGTATTAAATGAAATTTAATGAATCTATTGTACGAGCCTTCTGAGTATACAAAAAAAAAAAGTGATAAAAGCAATTAAAACCAGCGTCAAAACTAAACAATTAAAGTGTTAGTGCTTGGATAAATATACTCACAGTGCAAATCAATATGTGCTAAATAAAGGGTATAATATAATAAACAACACTATTTAATTTGTCAGTAGGACCCACCAATATTTGGTTACTGTAAAGTAGTGGTGGCCTTAACAACATATGGCCATATGGTGGAACTGAATCGGCATATTTATTTTCTTAGATGCAAATTTAAGTTGCCTGATAAGATTATTAGTATATTATTATGTGTGCGCCGTAACTAAATTTGTATCATGTATGGATATTGGTTCTGACACTATACGGTAGTATACCCACTACTACCCACTGTAGTGGTTATGGTGCTGGAATGCCCTAGCGCTGCCCACAATACCATAGTTATTTACTAAACTGAGAATTTCGAGGGAATTTCAAATTTTAATAGCTGACTTAGAGAATTTTCTAGATCGGCTACTATAACCTTGAATTTGAAATTCTCTTTGAATTCTCACCTTAGTAAATAACCCTGTAAGTCTTCAAACTGTTTTAATGTGACTTGGCAACATACATGATCCGAAGGCCACAGCCACTGGCTTCCAGTCTTTTCCTGCAGAAGAATCCGGTGAGCTCCAAAGAGCTAAGCAGGGCCTTGTGGAAATTCGCTCACTGGCTGAGAATATCAATGAGCGCTCTTATCCTCAGCCCTGTGTTTCCTCATTCCTCACAGCATTGTGATCTGTATCAATATCTGTTAGAGACCACTTTAAGAGTGCCCTCGTTGTCCCCCGGCACTTCTTGATGACTGAGAGTGCACAAACGTCACTGAGTCATTGACTGAGAGCTAGAACAGTGAGGGCACTCTTAAAGTGGTTTGTACCTGATATTGGTGCAGGCAATTGAGCTCCTGACCTGGATCCTTAGATCTCCTGCTCACCCTCCACGGAATTACCTGGGAAGGTTTGCAGGAGGGGAAGGCATACACAGCCACACTCAGACTCCACTACACACTTATCCACAAAATTCAGCCACCATACACACTCAACTAGCACAAACAGGCACACTCACCTTAAACACATAGCTTTCACTCTCCTCCTCACACTAACACTAAGCCACTACATACACTCTCGCACAAACAACACCCACTCAACATACACCACGCACAGAAACAGAGCCCAGGTCTCTGGAAGGGGGCCCAATCTGGCAACCTTAATCTGACTCTGTGTGAAAAATGCACAAGTATTGTGACACTAGATACCTGCTACTGGTAAAGGCCTGAGAGAGTAATTTAACTCCTATTTAGTGAAAGAAGGGTAGGATGAGCAAGAGGAAGTCTGTTTGAAACAATATAGAAAACTCCCCGAATGACTAATGATATCCAAGAACAATGGTGGTGTAGAGACCGATTGGGAAACATGCCTAACAATATGGTAGAGTTAAGCTACTTACTAAATATAATACCCTGGAGTACAAGAGACAAAAGCCTATGCAGGTGGATAAGGATGGTCTGTCCCCAAACATAAACTATTTATTAAAGGAGAACTCTCACCTCAACACTATTTTTAATATAATAACTCTTTGATTAAGTTTTGTAAGGAAATAGATTATTTGTTTAAAGTTGTTTTCCTGGCACTATAGTTCCCCATAGTGCCCACCTCTGTCGCTGCCCTCTCCTCCCCACCTCTCCCCACCCGTGGTGCAGAAGAGTTCAGATGGGCAGGACCTAATGTGCATGCGCGACAATAGTTGCTCTCGTATCAGGACTTTCCCCATAGAAAAGCATTGTATAATGCTTTCCTATGGGGTTTCGGGTGACGCTGGATGTCCTCATGCATAGTGCCTAACCATCCAGGAATCCCTCTAGTGGGATTAACCTTTGCAGGGTTCAGGGACCTAGGACTGAAATGGCAAGGATACCTATAGTGTCCCTTTAATGACGTATATGTAAAAAACAAAACAAAAGAGAAAAGGTATTCCTTCCTTTTAGTATATGATAAGATCATTCAGCCATATACATGCACCTTGGGTCAGACAGTGTTTGAATTTAATAGTTAGTGGGTCTGATGACGTCACTGCGCTGTGCAGGAAGTGAAGCAGGGAAGACCATAAAGACCGTATAGAGGTTTTCAAACACTGTATGACCCAAGGTTTATGTTTATGGCTGAAGGATCCTGTCATATACTAAAGGTAGAGATGAGTTTTCCTATTTTTTTTTTATTTTCTTAATTTGTATATACTTCATTTAACAAAGAATCTATTTTGTTTAAAAATTCAATGAAATGATCTTTATATTAAAAAATAGTGTTCAGGTAACAGATGTCCTTTAATTCCTGATTACACATTTCTTAAGCTTTATCCACTTGAAATGAACAAGCAGAACTTGAATGCATTTCTGACATCACAGGTGCGGATGTGCTTCTGGATAAAAGAATAAAAATAGTGTGGGTGCAATAGGGACTTGCAGAAAGCCACCAATTTATTTTTTGTTCACTGCAGTGATATTTTATTTTCCCTATTGAATGCATTGTGCTTGTGTCTAGGAAACAAAAGACTAAGCAGACATAGGATATTTCTTTCTTCTAATTATTGTGTTCCAGATTCCAGGCAAGCAAAAACATAAAAAAAATAAAAAAATCTTAAATACTTTTCATTTAAAAAAAACAAAAACTTCTATACCACAGCGTCTGGATGGTCTTTAATGCCTTAGACAGAATCGAAATACTAACAGGGCTACTAACTATTGTGACTTTTACATTTAAATTAAGGTTTACTTCAGCCATCATGACCACTTCACTATTTTGAAGTGGTTATAGTGCCTGGAGTCTGTATGCGCAGAGTTTCACTATGAAATTCTGCACATACAGATATTAACCCCTTATCTGCCAGAACCCCTCAGCTTTGACCTTAAGGGTGTGTGACATGCTCACTACGTCCATGGGTATAACTATGGTTAAAAGTGAGTTCCTGTCTTGCACAAAATTGACATCTGGCTTCCAAAAAATCTGAAGCAGCCTGGGTGCCCTGCATGGCCCAAGTCACTGTCAATCCATGCTGAGTTTGGCAGGATACGGCGGAAAGGTGCCAGTGCACTAATGGTGCTCGGAGTGCCTCTTTGATCAATGTATGGGAGTAGACCAGGGCATGCCTATTTGATATGTTCCATGCATGTACATGTGGAGCCAGTGGCATACACATGACCCATGGGGCCCCGGTGCAAAAATTGATCCGTGGCCCCCCCCCCCCGCGAGCGGGCCAAGGCCGCAACATATGGCGGCAGGCACCTGGTCTCAGGGGTTGCAGGGCTGCGACCCCTGCGACCGCGGTATGTACGCCAGTGCATGCAGATGCACACACACTTAAAGGACCACTACAGACATCCAGATCACATCATCTCAATGAAGTGGTCTGGGTGCCAGGTCCCTCTAGTTTTAACCCTGTAGCTGAAAACATAGCAGTTTCAGAGAAACTGCTATGTTTCACTGAGGGTTAATTCAGCCTCTAGTGGCTGTCTCATTGACAGCCGCTAGAGGAGCTTCCGCAAATTCTCACTGTGAAAATCACAGTGAGAAGACACTGAACCTCCATAGGAAAGCATTGAGTAATGCTTTCCTATGGGCGGTTTGAAGGCGCATGCACGTTCGTAGCTGAGAGGAGGAGGGATCCCCAGCGCCAAGGAAGTCGGGCGCTGGAGAAAGGTAAGTGCTGAAGACACACACACACTGTCAACAGACGCATACACACTAGCTAACAGACACACACATTTACTGACAGAGACACACTCAGCGACAGACATACATACACACTCACTTACAAAACATACACTCTCACTGACAAACACACACTCACTAACAGACACACACAAACATACTCAGTAACAGACACACACAGTAAAATACTTACTAGCAGACACACACAAACACACTCAGTAACAGACACACACAGTAACATACTAGCAGACACACACACTGACACTCACTGGCAGACACACTCTAACACACACACTAACACACACTCACACACTAACACTCACACACTAACACACACACACTAACACACACACTAACACACACACTAACACACACACATGTTTTTTTTTTTAAATTTTATCCCCCAGCCTCCTTACCTTTTGGAGTGCTGAGGGGATTCCCTGGGGTCCAGTGGTGCTGCTGGGCTCCTGGGCGGCCAGTCACCGGGCGGGCAGGCTGGCTGGCGGGCACGCGAGGGAGCACTCTCCCCTGAGTGCTTCCTCTTCAGCTCCCTTGCGCGCCGCGTACTGATG